AACATGCTAGAGGAAATTATGTTCACTTAATTGTTCATTCCTTCTTTTATTGAAGGTCTCATGGTTAGAAACTGTGAACTTAGTCCCCAGTTCAGATAGGCTCTGGATGAATGTGCGCATTATTGAGGGTCCATGTTACTTCAGCCTCATTCTTTTTTGCCTCATTTTTGGTTATAAGAGCTTAATATATGGAAAAGGTGAAGGGCCAACTTTTTATTGCTGTTACTACTTTCATTTTGTTTTAATTTACACCTGTGATGTATACTTCAAGTTTTAAATAATTTCAGTGTAGTGGACACTATATTTAAATTTTGTAGTTTGCTGTGTTTTGACATGTCTGTGCTTTAAAATGGCACAATTTTAATCTGAGATTAGGTAAAGAGTTTAAATATTAGTAGGCAATATGCAAGAGTAGTCATGTATAAGATACATGTATTTTACATTATATCACAGTTAGTTTAATGTTGTTGCCAAGAGTGAAATGTTACTGAAATCTGCTGTATTAAATTTTACCTGTGTGGTTGTAGCTCCGAGGTGGACCACTTACCTGAGCTGGCAGTGGCTCTAGGCATGATCCCTAGAGCTACAACAGTCATATTGTAACATTCAACCCTGTCATTCCTGTGTCTCAGCAGATCGTTTTTTGTACACCCTGTGGGGTACACATTTACAGTTTAGGAGACTTTCAGGTTTTTTGGCCATCTGGTGGATGCCTGAAAATAAATCTGGGCTACAACATGACTTTGAGAAATAGTTTTTCAAGCCTAAAAGGTGGTACGGAGACAAAGTTCATTCACATATATATTTTGTTGCTTTTCTCTTTTAAATGAAAGAAAGATTGTGGCTATTTGTGGGTTACAATTAAACAAAAATTCAGGTTCAACATTTTTGTTTTGGTTTGGTTTCAGTTTTTCATGACAGGGTTTCTCTGTAGTCCTGGCTGTCTTGGACACTCTATAGACCAGGATGGCCTTGCCTGCCTCTGCCTCCTGAGCTCTGGGATTAAAGGCCTGTACCACTACCACTGGGCATAAATAGTTTTGTTTTGTTCAATGAGTTGCTTATATGTACTTGGTAGACAAGAAATCCTTAGTCCTGCTCAAGGAAGTGCCAGAAATGAAGGAACAGTAAACAGGAGTTCTACGTGGTGATGGTTACTAGCTGTACTTAAGTGGTCAAGAGAGTTTTAGAAAAGTCTGCTGCTCTTCCAGAGGGCCTGAGTTCAGTTCCCAGCACCTACATAGAATGGCTCAAGCCACTTTAGCTCTCTCTAGCTCCAGGGAATCTGCTATTCTTCTCCAGCACCTGGGGACACCTGCACATACACATACACATACACATACACATAATTTAACATAATGGAAAGTAAATCTTTAAAAAGAAAGGCTGCTTTTACTTTTTCATTAAAATGAGGTAGGCTGTTGTAGCTGCCTATTTACATACAAAGTTAGAAGGAGAAAGCACAAAAGAGCACATGTTTTAGAACAGCGGTGCCACCTACTCTCCACTCGATGAGGATTCCTTGAGACTGTTGTATGGACAAAAGAGAAAGCTGCTTGTTTCATGTATTCCTTTCCCAGTGTGGTGTGGCTTGTTTCTTTTTTTTAAAAATAAAAATTAAATTAAAAAGTGACTTGGAGCTGGAGAGATGGCCCCGTGCTTAAGATCACATATTGGTATGGTACAGGACCCAGGTTTGTTTCCAGCACCCTTATCAGGTCATCCATAATGTATGTAGCTCTAGGTTCAGGAGATCTGACACACCGAGGGTACTGTACTCACATGTACAAACTCACACATACTAAAAAAAAGGTAAGGTTGATACTTCATTTATTTTCTCCTCAATGTGTTTCCTCAGCCCTCTCTCCAGCCTCCTTCAGTAACTTTTTATGTAAGATTTAAAAAAAAAAATAAAGGAAAAATAAAGGCCTTGATGGTTAGCCCCGGCTGGTCCAGAATTTACTACATAGACCAGGCTGGCCTTGAACTCACTGAGATCTGCTTGCCTCTGTCTCCTGGGTTCTGGGATTAAAGGCGTGGATCATCATGTACAGCAGAAAATGAATGCTGTTGTTTTAGAAATAATCCAACTAGAATGATTCTTTAATTTCACCTCAGGTTTCCCAGCATGGGAGCTGTCCATTCCCTCACTGCTTAACTGTGTGCCTGGCGGCTGTAAAGCTCCCCTAGATGGCGGCATTCAGACAGATGCTGTGTTACTTTTTCTGATAGTTTATCATGGGGGAAGTGCTTAAATGACTAATTTGTTTTGTTCTATGGGGAATTTTGGGTAATATAGTATATATTCTTTGAATCTTGAGTAAGAATATTTTTTGTTTATAGAGGAAAAGATAATTAATTACTCATTATGAACTAAAGATCTAGTAATACAATTTGACTAATTTTATTCCAAAATTTCTGAACTACATTGTGAATATTTTGGCCCATATCTTTCACTGACTTAATATTTTATGGCAAAAACCTAGAATCTAATTAAAATATTAAGAGTACTAATAATTACTTGAAGTTGTATTAAGCCCAAACCAGTTATTTGGCTTTTTCCCTGGGCAGATCTGAAAAGTTGTTTTAACTTCTCTAAGCTTATTCTTCACAACTCAGAAAAAAAGGATAACTACCTTCTTGCACAGTCTGCTAGGAAAATTAAACAAGGTGGTGTCACATGTAAGTATCTGTCAGTTTTGATACCAGGCCCTGGGCAAATTCTTGCTGTTAGCACTGCAGTAGTATTAAAGCCACGCCAACCTGACATTTAAATCTAGCTCTTTGATTGGGTCAGTAATAAGTTCTTACATATTTTCTTGCATCTAAAATTTGCTGTAGTTGATGACTTGCTATCACAACTCATTGTTATGCAGTTAATATCATTTTATAGTAGTCAATCTCTAAGGACCATAGCTGAGGTAGAACCAGTGAGGGCACTTGTAATGGGCACAAAATTTATGAAGGTACCCAAACTCCACAGCAATTAAAGTATTTTTAATATAATATTAAAAATGGATATGAAACTCTACAGAATCCAGGAATGGTTGTGCTTACCTTTAATCCCAGCACTCAGAAGGCAGAAGCAGGTAGATTTCTGAGTTCAAGGTCAGTCTTGTCTACAGAGCAAGTTCCAGGACAGGACTACACAGAGAAAACCTGTGTGTGGGGAAAATTAATTTTTTTATGGCTACTATGTCCTTAGTGAATATTTTAATACAAAATGAATATAATTTTCTGAGATACTTCAGAAAAGAGACTTAAATCCAAGGTGGGGAAAAGTGAGAAAGCTCTCCAAAGTGCATGTGGAAAATGAGTAATATCCAGACAGATAAGAGGGAGAGTTCTTGCTTCCAGAGAAGAGAGAATGCAGGGCACAGTGCTTGGAAGGCTAGAGACCAGCTGGGTGTGTGTGCTTCACTGCAGGAGCCTATGCCACCCTGCAGTTCAGAGTTCATACGTTTGGTTACTCTTTCAGCATCCTAAGTATGAATGGTACCTATTATTTCATCAGTGTATTCCCTATATTTTTAGGCATCAGGGAACCAACCTTCCTTCCCTCCTTCCCTCCTTCCCTCCTTCTCTCTCTCCCTCCCTCCCTCCCTCCCTCCCTTCCTCCCCTCCCTCCCTCCCTCTTTATTGTTTCAATGCAGGGTCTCTCTGCACAGCTCTGACTGTTCTCGAACTCACAACGTAAACCAGGATGAACTCATAAAAATCCACCTTCTCTACCTGCTGAGTGTTGGGATTAAAGGCATCTTCAGGGGTCTTAAGAGATGGTTTTTCTGTAGTTGTAGGTAAGAATTTCATAAGAGGAAATAGGAAGACTGTTTTTATGGTCTGTTAAGCCAGTAACTTCAACTTTTATAATCAAGTTTCATGTGGCAAAATATATAGTTCATTTTCCCGTTAAATTTTTTTATTTAATTTATCTATCATTATTATAGGTTTATGTGATGCATGTGTGTGAATGCAGATATATGTGTACCATGGTGTTTGTGTAGAGGTCAGATAGCAACTTTCAGGAGTTGGTTCTCCCCTTCCACCTTGTTGAGGCAAAGATTTCTTGTTTCTGCTGTTCTGAGTACTTAGATTACAGGAACTTTCTCCTGTCTCTGGCTCTCACCTCTTGGTAAAAGAGCTAGGATACAGATATATCAGGCTTTTTACCATTGATTCTGGGGTCAAGTTCAGGTCATTAGGCTGGTGCAGTGCTTTACCTGCTGAGCCATTCCAGCAGCCCCTTTACCTTTTAGTTCATGCTTATTTCTTGTATTCCTTGGTAAATCTTGTCTTCTTCAGGCAAATATCTCTTTTACTAGGTAATAAACTCTTGTTGAAGATGGGATAAAGTTGGTCTTTACATAATTGGGCTTTGAAATCTTCTAATACCTACAAAACAATCCAGCATTATAAATAGCCTGTGTTTAGCTCTTAGTGATAAACGACAGCAGGTCAATTAATATGATTCAGATTTTTCTGGGTGAAATAGAAAGCACACATTTTTGTGAGACAGTATAAGCCTAGGCTGGCCTTTTAAATCACCTGCATTTGTTTTAGGATATGTGCTCACACCTGAAGCTTTGGGGCTAGGAGCCTCTGATGAGAGAATATGCAGAGTTTGTCACCCTGGGTTTGGGTTACCTTACTTATTATGATCCTTTCTAGTTCCATCCATTTTCCTGGAGAAGGATGCCATCTTACTTATCTGTGGTCCCTCCCTGCCTTTTTTCCATATGCAATAGACACAAAATTAATGTTTTTAGGTGAAACTTATAAGCTGCATTTATCTTTGCTGGGTATCAAACTCCGGCCTTGTGTACACTCCCAGCTAACATTCTCAGGTTAGAAAACTTGTCCAAGCTATTGGGCATGTTGAACCCACAGTATATTAATGTGGGTTCATATTTACTCAGTGGGAGCAGCGTGTATGAGATTTAAAGACTTTTGAATGCTTGAGAATTATACAAACTTGCTTTTTACTCTTTATTTTTTAACAGGATGGCCTAAATTCCTTGGTCCTTGACTTGGATTTTCCTGCTTTGAGGAAAAATAAAAATATAGATAATTTCTTAAATAGATGTAAGTATGTTTATTTTTACTATTCATGTTTGAACATATATAGCTGTGCTTTAAATGTGTTTGGTTAAATTTGTGGTACTTAAATCTATTAATTTTGTTAACCTGTGACCTAGCCACTGTTCTATTGCTGTGAAGAGAGACATCATTACCAAGAGAACTCTTGATTACATCCTGATCCGCAGGCCAAAAGAGGGACACTAGGTTTGGCATGGGCTTTTGAAACCCAAAGCCCACTTTCAGTGACACACTTCCTCCAATAAGGCTACACCTCCTAATCCTTTTAATCCTTTCAAATAATACCACTCCCTGGTGACTAAGCATTCGAATATATGAACCTCTGGGGTCATTCTTATTCAAACTACCACAACCTATTAATTTACTAAACTTGCTTTAATTAAGTATGCTATTTGTTTCATTTAAAAATAATATTTTCTCTTTTCAAAGTAACTTTGCTGAACTAAGTTACAATATGTAAAGTAGATAAAATTTGAAAGGTAAAATTTATATGAGTTGTTAAGACCATATAAATATAACTCTTTGTTATGGCTGATATAAGCAAAATTTTAAGTTAATATGTAACTCTATGACTTTGCTTTTACTTATCCAGAAGACTTTAATAAGCTTTGTTTTAACAATTTATGTATATTAAGTCTCATTAAGGAAAAATGACCTGATAGCAATTAGTACCGTGTATATGATTATCCTTAAAGTTTATCAGCATTATGTTGGAATAAGTGGATTCTGAAAATATATCCTCAAAGTGAGTTGGGCATGGTGGATAGTGCTTGTATGTAGCAATCCAGGAGGTTGAGACAGGAGGACTAGTACAGTTTTAAGGCTAGTTTGGGCTCTAAAGCAAGACAATCTCCAAAAAAAGGGAAAAGTTAATCCCAGGGGCCTGGAGGTGGCTCAGCTGTTAAGAACACATACTGTTCTTGCAGAGGACCTAAGTTCAGTTCCCAGCACCCAAGTCAGGTAGCTCATAACTACCTGCTAATAATTCCTGGGGAATCTGATGCCCTCATCTGGTTTCTGAGGGCACCACACTCATACAAACCCACACTCTTTAAACACATGATGGGGGATGTCCTTCTGTATGCTGTGAATATATATTTCTCTTATTGGTTGATGAATAAAGCTGTTTTGGCCAATGGACAGGCAGAATTTAGCTAGGTGGGAATTCTAAAGAAAGAGGCAGGGAAAGCGCCATGTAACGGCTGGAGAGTCAAGAGGCCTCGGCATCAACCTGGTAAGGCAAGGCCACGTGGAGATACACAGGTTAATAGAAACAGGTTAATAATTAAGAGAGAGCTAGTCAATAAAGAAGCTGGAGCCATTGGCTAAACGATTGTAACTGATAATAAGTCTCGAGTGGTTATTTCATTAAGAGGCTGTGGGACCTGGTAGGTGGAGAATAACTGGTCCAGTGAGACAGAGATGGAGATCTCCTACAAACACATAATGCAGAAAACTTAAAATTCTAAAAATGTCTAATAAAAAGGGGAAAGGAAGAGTAATGCATCTCCTTATCCACACAGTTAATCCTTTATTTGGGAATTGTCAGTGTTAGGGTTTTTTTTTTTTGTTACTATAGTAGTTGATATATTTGAAATATGTGATTACTGCCTTTTAGAGAAATAGGTTAAGCGTCATTGCTAAATTTGGAATAATGAGTAATTTCACTCCTTCCTCTTCTCTTTTGAGATAACTTCTAGCAGTATGGCCTAGGCCAGCCTGAAATGTAGTCCTTGTGTTTAGCCTCCTGGTCCTGGGTGGCATGCCTGGCTTTGTGCTGCTTTCTGCCATGATTGATAAAGCATTAGGATTGCCTGGGTTGTTGATGTTACTTGTACACAGTGGAGCGAGAAGTGGAGCACCTTTAGTACTGCTTTTTGGCAGTGTGGCTTGTGAACGTGTGCCAACAAATCACAGAGCTTTGATCCCTTGATGCAAAGATAGCATACTTCTTAAAGTGTTTGTTTATTTCAGTGCTGGGGTGAAGCCTAGGACCTCACATGGTAAGCAAGCAGTTTGTCACTGTACCACACACATTCCCACACTTTGCAGTGTTAAAATAGGATCCTAAAGACTAACAGAATCAGTTAAAAGTTAATTCTAATATCTAGAAATAAAACATGTTTACAAATAGGGTGACTATTTTTGAATGTTTCTAATATATGATTGCTATTAAAAGTATGGTGATTTTTTTTTATAGATGAGAAAATTGTGAAAAAAATCAGAGGTTTACAGATGAAAGCAGAAGACTATGATGTTGTAAAAGTTATTGGAAGAGGTGCTTTTGGTGAAGTTCAGTTGGTAAGAAAGGATTTGTTTGGTTCTTACTACCCTTTTTTTTCCCCCCCCTTTATAGCAGCTGGATAGTTCTAAATTCTGTTCAGCCATTTGAGTAATTGGTTTTATGTCTTTGATACTGAGAGCCTCAGTGTTCCCATCTTTCAAAAAAAGGGCAGCCTGTCACTAATAGCATTCCAGCTTTAATACAGTGATTTGGAATAATGCCAGTTTGATTTCACATGTGATCTGCCTAAAAGTTAACACTACACTATATTATACTCTGGCACTATACTGAATGAGAGCTGTGTTTTCATTAAGAAAGATCAGACTGAAATTGAGCATGATGGTGAATGTCTTTAATCCCAGCATTCAGAATGTTGGGATAGACTAATCTCTGATTTCAAGGCCAGCCCAGCCATACAGTGAAGTTAACACACACACACACACACACACACACACACACACACACACACACACACACACACAGAGAGAGAGAGACACACACAGTTAGCACTAGTGTTTATATTAAATGAGGCAGTATACTGGTGATCTTATTGTTAATACCTGAGCATGAGGCTTCAATAATTGTTCCTAGAGTTCAGTTCTGTTCTTGGGACCTAACAGTGTTTTATCCTCTTGATGGCAAGGAGAAACAGTGATCACTTTAAGTGTAAATTCTCTAAGTTCTGACCTGAAGAATAGACAAAGTACCTATTTTGTGAAGGCCACTGGGGAGGATGATGATTAAGTGAATTAATAAGATAAGAAATGCTTAGAGTACTCCCTGAGTGTTAACTGTTTTATTATTTTCATTGCTTATTTAATATATAGAGCCAAAATATATTTCATACAAATATATTGTTTTCTGGGTACTTAATGATTTGTTGTGATTATGGAAGAGATACTAGAATTTGTGGTTGGATTTTGAACAGATGCGTGCCAGATCTTTACTTATCCTTGCTTTTCTTTTAGTTGTTTGCTTTTTGGCTTTGTTTTTTTGACAGGATCTACATTTTAGACTAGCTAGGAATTCATTGTGTTGAAAATGACCTTGAACTTCTGATCCTCTTCTACTTCCCGAGTGCTAGAACTACAGGCATACCCATCATGCTCTGTTTTACAGGGTGTTGGGGACCTAGCACAGGGCTTCTCATATGCTAGGCAAGCACACTTACCAATTGAGCAACATCCCAGTCAAACTGGTCGTGCTTTGTTTTGTTTTGAGACAGGGTCTCACTGTAGATCAGGCTGGCCTCCCAACTGACAGAGATCTTCCTGCCTCTGACTCCTGAAGTACTGGGATTAAAGGCATGCACCACCACACCTTGACTCAGCTTTCCATGTTTTAATGTCAGAGTAGTTACTGGTCAATGCTAATGTGGTCATTATTGTGAAGTATGTCAAAGAAATGAAAGAAAAATATGTAGGTATAAAATTTTATTTTTGTTGTTGCTGTTAGCCAAAATCTTGTGTTTTTAAAAATGAAAAATATCTTAACATTTTATGAATCTGGTGCCTGATGCAAGAGCTTGTGTTTTGCTTTTGCCTCTGTTACCTTAGGCAGGGATTCTTTAAAAGGAGTAAAATTGTAAAGGAAACATCCATGTGTTTCTTCCATCTATTTTAAAGATTGATTTGTATGTAGTAAATTAGTATAATAGGTATAGGGAGAGATTATTCCAATTTAGCACATCTTTATGATATGTTTTGTTTTTCCAAGTTAATTGAAGGAAGTTTCATAATAGCCCAAATTACTCTTTCCATATGAAATTTTTTTCTAGTTAGGTTGAAAGAAAAGGTTAGGTTACCGCAAAGGACAATGTTAACCAATTTCTACAAATAAAGTTTCATTCTAAGGGTAACTTTGGTATGTCACTCATGTGCCATAATATATGAGAGCATTGGTTCTGGAGTAAGCAGCAGTATGGGGCTGGAGACATGGCTCCAGCCATGTGATCACTTGCTGCTCTTCAGAGGACTCAGGTTCAGTTTCAGCATTGCATGGGGTCTCACTACTGTCCTTAACTTTGGTGCCGTGGGATCCAGTGCCCTCTTCTGCCTTCACCACAAGAATTGCATACACAGGGTTCACCTACATACACACAGCCAAAACACTCATATACGTAAAATAAGTAAATTCTTAAAAAAAACATTGGGGATTAGGGAGGAGAGGCTGGAGAAATAGCTAAAGTGGTTAAGAGTATTACTGCCTCTTCCATAGGACACTTAACTGGTGGCTCACACTGTCCATAACTCTAGTTCCTGGGGATCTGACACAGTCTCTTCTGGCCTCTCTGGGCACTACATGCATATGGTGCATAGACAAACATGCAGGCAAAACACCCATACACATAAAAATTTAAAAAGTATAATTAAAAAAGAAAACAACATCAAAAAGTAGTAGCTTCCCTACTAGGGTCTTTGATCTCAGCAGTAAAACTTCAATATACATTTTTGTATGTAATAGCTGGTACTATGGAAAAAGAATCAGTGTTGACTGCTTCTGTTTGTAGCCTACAGGACATTGGTTTCCTGTCACCCAGGCTAAGCTCTCTCATCTTGGAGTAGCATTAGTAGCTACTTAACCTCAGAACATTTTTGTGAGTACTGAATTGGATTGCACATACATGTCTCTAGTGTGCTTCTCGGTTCTGACTAGTGAGATGGTTACCTCCAGGTCTCTTGTCAGGTATTTAAGTGGTTTTTACTTTTGAATAATCAGGTCTTGATCTGATTTTAGATGTGCATAGGTATATTACTTGTGTGGAGTCACCATGGCAATACCAGACTTCATGAAAAACAACAGAAATTTCTTTTCATACCAGTTCTTGTGAAGCCTGGGAACCAGCTTATTGGCATCCTTTTTATTTGGATGAATAAAAACATTTGAGACTATTGCAAAAGTGTCAGTTAAAAATCTTCCGGGGGGGGGGGGGGGGGGGAAAGGGTCAGAAGTTAAAAGCACACACTG